GTCTTACGTTACGTCTTACGTTACGTCTTACGTTACGTCTTACGTTACGTCTTACGTTACGTCTTACGTTACGTCTTACGTTACGTCTTACGTTTCGTCTTACGTTACGTCTTACGTTACGTCTTACGTTACGTCTTACGTTACGTCTTACGTTTCGTCTTACGTTACGTCTTACGTTACGTAAGACAAAGCGTTACGGTTCTTAACAATATTCGGTGTACGCTGTCTACGCCATTTCCGTACTATTTCCGTACTAAATCTTAACAATCCCAACTTCAAAATCACCAACTTCAATTTTTGTATGCCAATTAAATTCCTAGACAGGGGATTGTTTTTCAGTTAACACGAAGTACCGCCAACAATAGACACTGTGCTCGAGGCCACTCCCGCCGCCCCTTTGTTGACAGTGCACCTAAACATTCACCAAGTTTTCTGGTGGTCAATTGAACTTTCTACGGTGCACACATTCGTGCTACCACACCGACAACATTGTTTAAATCCAGGTACCAGGTGGTCAGTGCCTCGGTCTCCTCGGTCAGAGCGAACACCTCTATGTTCAGTGTTGCGGGTTTGCAGTGCATACCATTTCATGCCGCAGGGGCCAAGACGATATATGGGCTGACAGCATAGGCCAAGCACACCCCGTACAACTAAAAACGTTTACTTCTTTAATTACATTAGGATATATAATTTAGTTTTCTTTATCATGGGTTCGTTTCGCAGTTTACACGAAGTGTTAACGTTTTTGTACAAATCGTGCCTCTACAAAGGCACAAGTGCAGTAGCACTCTTAGAAGGTGTTATATAGCACCTTTGCTTTTCCAGTGCAATCACCGTCGCATTAGCTCTCCGAGAACCAGTAATCACCCCCCCCCCCCCCTACAGCAAGCTCCAGTCAAATATTTGCATTATCTCCTCTGCCATGTGGTACAATGAACCTTCATCAACCTATCCGCAAAGACGTTTTCGAACAAATGCGTCGGCATACGGTCTAAATAACACTCCGATTCTAACCATCTACTCTTAGCCCGACCGCTAAGAAACTCACCTTGTGCGTCACTGTTTGTGTAGTCCCAAGAGGCACCAGCTGTAGTTACCATCTCAGGGAGATGGGCGGGGTAATGGTTGCGCGACTCAGTAGTGAAAAAACGGCCTTTAGATGGCAGTACGCACGTTTTACCTGCGACGTGCCGTTTACCCGCCAGGGACGTTCAAGTTCAAGAGGGACAATCACTGGACAGGTCCTCTACCCTACTCGTTTGACGCGTGTCACAACCAGGTTTAGGCGAATAACCTCGTCGGACTTAACTAATCCATCTTGACATTTGTTATCGAATTTTTTGTTTAGCTGGGTCATGAGTTTCTTATCACTTAGATTAATCGCGAATTAGTCAATAGTCTCTGCCTGATAGCAGACTGCTTCATATATTACTCGCCACCAACACCAGAGCGGTTCTGTCATCTCGGGCAGTTCATCGTCAAACCTTATCCAAGATGCGGTCCTGGACACTAACTTTTATCGCTGCAGCCTTATTGGTTGGGTCACAGGCACAGCAGGTAAGCTGGGAACAGGTCTCAACAAATAGCCTGCATGCTCCACGTAACTTTTTGCTTCTCGTGCTGACTGATCCAAATATTTGGTTGTTCGAACTATTATGGTATTCAGTTCCCCCCTGAGTAAATATCAGAAAAGCCCGGATTTTTAATAAGGTCTAGAAATGTGGGACTGGGCCTGCCAACTCCAGAAGAGAATTTGAACAGTAGAAAAGCAACTGTTACTATATTGTCCTACAACTTTCATTTACATTTTGATGATCTGAGCATTATAGGGAGCATCCAATTACACTTTACGTTAAAGGTTTTCCCAGCGGAGACAAACACATTTTTTTCGACCACAGTTCCCTCCTCTACCTCTCACTGCCGATCAAATTTAAACGGAGTAGCTACTGTGACGCCCGTGAACACCCCCCCCCCCCCCCCCCCTCCCACCTTAACCCACACAACCTCAGGTCCTGCAGCGGATGCTGACGGCGTCAGCAAAGACGACTTAGGCCCCACTAGGCCATTTTACCGCATTTTTTGCAATCAGCCTCATAGGCGTTCTGAGGAAGAGGGTCAAAAGCGCTACAGTAGATCGTTCATTTAAACTATCATCTCTGGGCACAGCCAAGCCACAGTCGCATCAATGATCTCAGACTTTATTTAAATTTCCTTCGTTTTAGTGAAAAAAGAGAAAAAGTATGGAGCATGTAATGATCTGATTTTTTGTCGCCGTTGCCGTACGACATGAGTTCTACATCTCATTGAGGATGATTGAGGAGGGTCAGTTAGCGAAAACCGTAACCTGACACCCGCACAGCGCTCAAGAAGTCAGACAAGCACCCCTCTCCCTGCTCCGCTGCCCAGCGCCGAGCAACTTGGACGGCCAGACCGCGCTCTGCGGTTTCGCACTTCCCAGTAGTGCACGACAAAATCTTGGACGAGGAACAAAGCTTGCGCTTTAGTGCACGTAATAACCAAATAATGTTTTTTCCCGATATGTTTGTTGGGATCGTATAAACGCCCAACAAGAACGCCAAAACGTCTCATGGTTGTAGCTATAGGGTAGACTGAACACCAGTTAAGTTTCATCACTCAAAGAATTTTTTTTTCAGTCAATCATTGAATGCGTTAAGCTAACGGAACGTAAAAATGGCGCAGCGCGAGAAAATTACCTATACTCTAAATCTACGCATAAAATATGTGCCAACAACTTAATTAATTCACCGTTTTGTGATTACAGGCAGGATTTAATGTAAACGGGATGGTTGACACTTTGCTAAGCAGAGCAGAGGACCATATTTTGCCGTCCATCGATATCCCTGATGTTTCAGTCTCGGAGTTGTTCAAAGTCCTCTTTTTCAACGTTAAGGCCAGTCTTGACGTGAGCAAAGGATGGCTACTTGGTCCAAAATCAGTGCGGAGGTTCGATGACTCAAAGCTGACGATGGAGGATCAATATACGTTTAGTGTAGACATTCCAGTTGGTGTCAACGAAATAAACTTTGGGTAAGAAGTGACTCCTTCGTTCGTTAACATAGAAATTTCGCCCCCTTTCGTACCTGCAGTATGCGCAAAGCCTAAAATCATTTCTTGAACATGTATATCTGCTTGCTGTGCCAGCCTGTTTACTACTTTCATGAGTTCTCTCCTCACCTAATGCGCGTCGACTATTGTTCAGGTACAACTACAAGACCAAGGTTGCGGGCATTTCCGGGCCACGTGGAAACTTCACGGCAACAGTGGGTGCCACAGCCGTAACCGTCCGGGCTAGTGTCACTATTTACGATGAGTTTTGCTACGCAAAGTTCGAATCATTGGATCTCACGCAGCTAGGCAACGTCACGGTAAGTTTTTCTAGTAGTTGAAATAACGACATGGACCAACATTGCAAATTGAATTCGGGGACAATTTACAAATAACTAAAGAAATTGAAAATGCTTTCTCCCTGAAGACAATTAGATCAGATTACTTAACCCCAAATAAATAAGTACACGTATGGAAGTTAGTCTGCCGCTTGAAAGACGGATCCCGTTTCTTTTTCATTTTGCGTTGCTGCTCTTTCCGGTTTACTTGACGTCTTATACCAAGAAAAACAATATAGCGGCTGTGGCACGAGGCTTTCCCGTGCTGCAACTTTCGAATACAGTAACTAACATTTAGTTCTAATGCGGAGTAAGCTTCAAAAACAAAATTTTCATGAACATGCCGCACCATTGCACATTTTAAGAAAGAATACGAAATTTTGGTTTCAATGAAGCTACTTTCTCGGGTTACGACTACAGTTCAACTTTAAAAATCACCCATCCCTTTTTTTCGTTTTTTTTCTATTTTTTTTTTTTTAATACACCGTGGTGCACTGTAGGGCGACGAGGGTTTTGTAAAGAGAGCAGAGGTGACAAAACGGCCAAAATGTGTCAGGTCGTTGAGATACGCTCATTAGTGTCGTATTTCAGAATTGAAATAAAAGTTATTTGTGTTAACAACTAAGCCGTTTTATACCAGGTGAGTGCTACTGGCTTGGGCGTGGCAAACTCCATCTATTCAAAGATGCTCACAAAGTTTGCGGAGAGCCAGCGGGACAAAGTTCAGGCACAGATTGCCGAGGACTTCGAAGAAGCTACAAAGTGGACCTTTGACTGCAACTCCTATCTTCCCCCTGTGCTACGGCCGTGCCGCGATTGCGCAAATGATCCTAAACCTATGAGAAGCGTGAACAGCACTCAGGCACTGTTCCCTACTGTCACACATATCTTTATGTAAATCTTGTTAAAAAGCACTTAGCAAATAAACCAAATTCTAACGCTAACGCGTTAATCGGCCCCTGAACTTTTAACGAATGGTTTTATGCACACGAAGAAATAATTAACCTATTATTCACTTCAAAATATGGAGTGTTGAGAGTTGGAAAAGAGAGAAATCTTCAAAGTTGTGGCTCTTCGTTCTGACGTCACCAGAATAACAAAACCAAAACCAAGAATAAGGCAAGCGCCTGCTTATTCAAACTGTTCCGTGGGCATTCTCCGGCAATGCCACTTCTCGGTAGAATTATCAAAACATGTCTTATTTAACTACCTCTTGAGTGCACAGGAAAAGGCTAAAAAAGGGTTAGTGGTTGAGCGATTAGCGAAGCCCATTACTATACTGATCGGAAAAGTTTCATTCTGTTTGTCTGTCTGTCTGTCCGCACGATTACTCGAGAAAGAATGGAGAGAGCGATCTGGGAATTTCAGCAGGGTCGTTTTGTATCATAACAAGCTGGGCCCGCTCTTCCGCCAAACCAAGTTGCCAGCTCCGCTTCGCTCCACCGGCAACTCGGTTCGGCAGGGAGCGGGCCCAGCTTGGCCTGCCGGCGGCGTTTGGGACGGGCCTTCGGCCCGTCCCTT